GTAACAGTTTTGTTATGGTGCGACGGTTCTAGGGAATCCTGATAGGTAATTTTGAATTTAGTCAGTACCTGCTAGTTTACAGATAAGTATAGATATGGCAACGTTAGGACGAGAACAGATTAAACTTTTTCAATGTAGGTTTTACAATCATATCAACATTGACTCAATGAAAGCATGTTGTACTAGCTAAAGAAAACATATAAAAGTCTGTGAACGATGTGTACTCTGTGGTTTCTATGTATAAGAATTTGAACTTACTTATATTGGGCAAGAGGGGACGAGTTGAAAGCTTGTTTTGTGCGTTATGCTTCAAATTGAATAATGAAAATGTCCGTTTCGTCGATCAGCGGTGCGTAATCAAGTGGACTACTGCTTTAGGGGATGGGCTGTGTTCGAAGTCCTGATAGGCACAGGACGAACGGCAATTGCAATTTTACGACGAGATATCAATCAGTTCGTGAATAATGTAAAGTATTATGTGCTGTACCTTCTGTATCGGCTTAAGAAGACACAACCAGCTCAATGATATAGTCCATACGCAACAAAAGAATTATAATAAAGTTGACTCTGCGGCCTTTAGTATAGGACCAAGACCTGATCATTTCTTACTCATATCTTAAGTCGGATGTGATTTCGCTGGTGATATTCCGCTGATATTTTTATTTAATTTACTAACAATCCAGGCAGAACAAAGTAAATGGTATATGAATAAAAGAGACCACAGAGCGCAAATCAGTAGATGCTGTCGATTCTTGCTTTCCTTTTGACTGTATAGCTGTTTATTACGGATCTGCGTAGATAACCTTTACAAATATAAATATCTCACACAATTTAACGCTTGGATTCTATCTCTCATCCTTCGAATTTATCGAATTCATGAAGATTGGATGTCCACTATTGCGATTAGACGATCTTTTAAAAAAGAGTAAAGTATTACGTGCACCGGATTTACAATTCGAAAATTCCGAGAATGGAGATAAATATTTTTAATAATTTTTTGAGTAGATCGACTAATCGTAGTAGTGGTCATACCAATTTTGTTGACGAATTTTTCATTGATTATTCTATTAAACGGAGCAACCAATTGCGATAGTGGACATCTATTGCGAATGCGATTGCGAATGCGGATGTACACTGTTGCGATTGTTGATCAGTTAAAAAAGATAATCTATGAAAAGAACTCGTCAACATAATTTGATAAAAACGTGGACATCTATTGCGATTGCGGATGTTCACTATTGCGATTGGTTGATTGTTTTGAAAAAACGTAAATATAAAAAAATTGTTAGCCAAATTAGTAAAATCACTACTGCGATTATTCGATCTGCTCAAAAAGAATAATCAGTAAAAATAGGGCGTCATTGTGAAAACGGAAGGAATATTTGGCTCGCAAATTATCAGCAAATGTGAAAAAATTGAATTCTATAAATGTGTATATTTCTAGCCACCATCAGCCTAATGGTCTTAACCAATTTGATATTTGCTTGCGCTAAGTCAAACCCTGACCGTTTGTATCAAGATAGCTGCTCAATTTTCATAGCTGCAAAAGTGAAAAGTTACTCAATTGGACGCTTGATTGTCACGTCGACATCATCGTATGTAAGAGTGTTAGTTTGCACAAACGATAGCAAAGTACTACTAACAACCAATTTAAAGTATTACCAGTATTAAAGAGCATACAAAGTTGCAGTGTTTGGGCCACCGCCGCTTTCCGCTGATGTTTTATTATCATTTGACTCTGCAACTCAAACACTTATTATAAATACTAATCATATATCATAAATCTCTTAAGCTCGATCTATGCTACGAACGCAATTGCGAAACTATCAAGTATGAAACTTTCTGATGAAATCGTTTGTTATGTCAGCAACTACAGAAGTCCGCAGAGGACTATATTTTTTCTCCTTTTTTCCCAACCACCACGATATGCGTTTTTTCGACGCATTCACGATTTCCGCAATGAGTGTGATCGTATATGGATGGTAAGTATTTAAAAATTGACGTTTCCTTGTCAGAATCAACGAATATATGCTATATCAAGCGGCGTGATAATGGAGAAAGCCGTAACCACTATCAATGCGAGAACAAAAAAAAAAAAA